GGGTATGGACTAGATAGATCATATCCATATGGTCTTACGGCACCTTGAGTATCACTGCCGGGATGCGGAATCCTTGGAGGTGAATCATAATAGCCGGGTGCAGGTTGTCCGGGATACATTGGGGGTCGACCATAAGCTGATGGAGGTGGATACGGATAACGATGATGTTCCGAACCATCGGGCATTGGTGGTGGATAGTAATATGGATGATAGCTGTATCTCCTGTCGTAAATGTCGTAGTAAGGAGGATAGTGTGGTTCACTCATGTATTCCGGGCGATCGTGCCATGAAATCGGTCGATGTGGAGGATATCCAGGGGCATACATCGAAACGTTAGGATCATAATGACCCATGTGAGGAATGTGATCGTATGGCATTCGGGGTCGAGGGGATAATGGGCTTCGACTGGAATGACTCTTTCGTTTGTCCGATGAATCCGGCGTTCTCTTTGAACGTAGATCGTCCAAGGGTGAATTATGGTCGTGCATCTCCGTGTCTGAAGAATCGCGACTCTCGTTATCATCATTCTTTCCATCACCACGGGCGCGTTTCATTCTATTTGGATCGGAAATGTCGATTGGTTCTAGCTCCTTTCTTTTGGCCAGCCGTCTGCTTAGAGGTAAATGATAAAGGTCGCATGTTAGTGTTAACAAAGAAATAGTACAGGGCGTTAGCAAGATGAATCATCAAATAACCTTCGTATCCTAATTTCTTTCCTTATTCTGATCTTTAAACCTTGATCGGCAAAGGAACGTGACAAAAATGTTGACTCTAAATTATAATGGTAATGATCTTAGCTTGCTGGAATAAGGATCTTTGGAGGAGAGAAAAAACGAGACGCGAAGATTCGCCGTGAATCGCCAACCAACAAACCTTCCATCCCCGGAAATCTCTTTGCCGAGTACACAACAAATATATCGGAAAATATCGACTTGCAGTGATACACTTCGCGCCTAATCGATAAATAGATAAAGCATTAAAAAACGAATTATACAAATCGAACATTATTAAACAGACAATTTTTCTACGACAATTACCCAATGATCTCAAACAGACTAAGCTTCAATCGATAAGTTCCTTCCATACGCACAGATAAATCGGGAAACACGAAAAATCCGGCATCCGAATTATCAATGTCTTTGAGATGATACAAGGAGGAAACGACAGAACCCGTGGTGGAACGAGTTTTGCCATCTCGAAGTAAATGTAATTCTTCGTCTGTATCCGGAGCCACCAGGGATGCGTACATGAAGAAGTAAGGATTCTGAAGGAATGAACTGAAGAAAATTATGCGGGTCAGCACGGTCCTGATCACATGATGAGGCTCGCGTGAAAATCATTCATACCTTTTTTCGGATTGAGGCAGTGTTGCATCATAAACCTTCAACTGAATTATTGGAGGAGGATCTATGGGACGCCTGTCAGCTGTTATCAAGAAAGTATGTTAATAAAAGGATGGTGCAGCGATGCGGCGTACGCCTTTGTATTACGTCATAGTGAACAAATGAAATCAGGTGACCAATGTGACGAGGTAACAATTAATAGGACGTGATCACCAACCAAGTCCATGAACATATCGATATGAAACATAATTTTATCGCGAATGTCACGATTCATTCCACGAAATGCCATGCAGACTAATTCTAAAACGTAGCCCGAGTGTACTCAAAACGCGTGTGTTATCTATCTTAGATATTGCAATTTTTTTTTTTAAAAACTCCACACAGACCATCGCAACAAGAAAGGGAGTACACAAGCAAGAGAGGCATTGAAGTCCAAATAAATAAATCTCAACTCATATCACAAGTTGGAGAGACATTTAAAACCCCTTTCGCCGGATATTTGTCGCATCAAAATAATATGTGATCGGCGTTTGATAGCGGATGCTCACCTTTCTCGCCTATACCACACATCCTTGATTGTTTTGGTTGTTGCCGCAAGATTAGTTCGTATTGTCTAGTTAGTCATGAAACAGGAGATTTAGGAAATTCTCATGTGTGTATGCTGAAGTTTGCCGATGAACAAAAATCAAGGATATCATTATACTCACATTTCCTGCCTCTCATCCTTACGTTGCCGTACTGGGGCAAATTGATATGATACTATATCATCCATTTAAATGTTTAGAGAGAAGGAAGGGAGGGGGTGGGGAAGGGTTCGGATCTTAATAAAAAGATAACCTGCGAGGTGTAATGGCGCGAAATCGGAAACGACTTAAGGAAACAGACTTTCTAATCTCAGAGGACAAGGTGAAAGTTTATATACACTATATGCGCATTGAGTGCTTGCACTAGAGGTGGAGTCTTCGTTATGGTGCAAATGAGTGGTGCCTTTTTAGTCTAACCCTTTTGCTGTGAAAACGTCTTTTCGGACTTATTTTTCTTAAAAAATTGCGAGTGGACCCAGTGGTTGTGAAAAGAGCCAGAAATGTCTTGGCGTTGGTTTTTTATTGACGGTTCTAAAATTTATCTAATTTTTCGGGTTTTGGGACAAATAGTGGTATCGGGAGTAACAGATAATGCCTTTTTATATATGTACGTATACAGAAAATTTTTTTTTGGATTAGAGATTTATGCTGATAAAGGAGATGAGTACGAGGGAAAGTTTAATCCTCATGTGGTTATTATATACATACATGAGAAGGAGGGAAATAGATTGATTATATAGCGATAAACCGGGGAACAGGGAGCTAATCCAGGAAAAAAATCTCTTGATTGAGGTTACGTACTACTGATTATAATAAAATTGTGTAACAATGATGCGCAGATTGATTGGGGACGACTATTACAAGGGATTTTTTTTATATTATGGGCACAATTGAAAGTCGATTTCCTTATGCGCCGGATACAAAGATTCCGAAAATTATTTTCCTGATTTCTCGAGAATTCAAGGAAGTAACCTGAATCGTCGAACGAGAGAGAGAGAGAGAGAGAAAAAAATTTTTTTTTTTTTTTTTTAAAAGGGGTTTGAAATGCTTTTATAAACCGAATTTATATGTCAATAGTAATTTAAGCCTTGAAATGGTGCTTTTTTTTTTTTCTTAAGCAGGAGTACACAAAAACCACGCACAGAAAAAAACTTTAAAAATTTAAATGCACGATGATACGTACCTTGTTGGTAGTTCCGCTAACACGATCCCTCTTTTTGTTTCTGGTCGCTTTTTTCGTGAGGATTGTCATACAAATAACAAAGCCCATATCTTAATATGGACCGGCTAATTGACTACGCGCCCCCAATTACCTGTTTATTAGAAGGGGAGAAAAATTGTGTCCGACCAGTCGTAACAAAGAAAACGGCAGAAAGGGGATCAACCCCTTCATTTGGAGTCACCTTCCCGAAGATATGGAGATGGTTCTTCGACAATGCTTCGTAATTCGTCTTTTTGGATCTTAATATACACACGGTAATATAAACAAATATAAATAGATGTTCAAGCGGCATGTATCTGATATTGCATGAACGTCTGATATATCATTGCACCCAAAGTTGGTAAATTTGTGCGTACATGAGAAGATGCAGCACTTTAAAAAGAAAATTTTCTTTTGTTTTGTTTTTTTTATTATGCATCTACTTGTTTTCTCTAGTGATTGAATATTAAAAAAATCAATTTTAATAAGATCATCACTTCGCGGTCCAATTGTTTTATTTCATTGTACTCGGTATATATTGTAATTATTGTAATTATTGTAGTGAAACAAGGTTTTTTTTTTGTTCGTATCCATAATCAACCACCGTCGGAATGGAAACCAGCAAGTTTGATAGTCGTCAAAAATTCCTTAAATATTGATGAGAGGATGGAAGAATGGACGATCCAAATACCTTGTGGTTGGCGAGTTATTTATAAGGAAAAAGAGTGTGATGATTTTTGTCAATCCTCATGTTGTGACTGTGACCTGCTACCGGATACAAGGATTGTGCATATAAGGTTCCTAATTTGTCATTCATGGGAAGAAATCGGTCAAAGAGAAAAAAGAATTCCAAGAACAAGGATCATTCGAGGAGCATCATCGTTTTATAATGGTGTGAGAAGGGCGTGAATAACTTATTAAGATAAACAAACTAAAAATCAGTGGTCCTGGTTTTTCCGAATTCTATGCGATCACCTGTGTTCATTCTGAAGATTACGTAAGTTCCTGGTCTTTTGATTAAAAATATTAATGCAAAAACCAAACGTCTTTTTCGGAGAAAAATGCCCCAACTGCAAAAAAGGTTCTTATCTGCATAAAAAAAAAAGAAGGGAGTATCAAATTTGGACTGAATCTAGGTGCTGATTATTATTTTATTTTTTTTTCTCCCTACATTCAGTCCTAAAAGAGGATTTGAAAAAAAAAGAAATTTTATAACTTTATCCGAAACTTGGGGCCTGGGAACGAGTCCCTCTTTGTAAGAAGCGACATACGTTTACGGGATTATCACGTGACGTGTCAATTCATTCATGCCAAATGAAGGTGATTCTGTTGGACGGAATAACCGGAATAACGGTGAATGAGAAATAATAATTTCATACAAGAGAAAATAGAAAATCTTTTTGCTTAGAAAGGAGGGACCCTTCAGGAGAAATGTTCGGAAAATTTTTAACTTTGTTGATAACATGCCTCAATGTGCTGAGACGGTTTGGATAATAACTTGATGTTCGCTAGATGATCGACAGTGCCTTAAATGTTTCGCCTAATGTTCCAGTAAAATTCCGGATTTGGGAATGTGAATGATACACAATATATTGTCAGGCTGGTGCTATGAAGCAAAAGCAACTCAAGAGATACCACGTTTTTTAAATTCACAGTCATGGATCAGAGCACCAAAGACCTTGAACAGTTGACCTCAATGTTCCCTGGCATTGACGCTGAAGTTTGTGAAGCTGTTTTGAGCGCGAATAATGGAGACATGGGTGAAAGCATAACCACTTTACTGGGCATGTCTGATCCAAACTTTAAAAGTGAAGAAGCGATCCCAATTCAAACCGATGTAGGTATTATATTATGGTATTGGCGCGAACGCATGTATTTCTCCAGAAGAAAGAAGTGCATGTTATCATGAATAGAAATGCAGTAATTTTTTATTAAATACTTTTACGTCTAATGGAACACATAGGATGGATTTGTGACATCTTCTTCAAGGTTACAGATCGAACGTGATGAGGAGTTGGCAAAACAGTTGGCAAGACAGTTGGCCGCTGAAGAAGATAGTATGTTTGAATATTTGAAAGATTTGGTTTAATTGATTGAGTTTGACAGTAGTCACTCAACACTTCATTTTTGATTAATTTTCAGGAGAATATGGCGCACCACCGAACCCTGTTAATCAGCGACCACAACAACAACAACAACAATCATCACCTTCCGGCTTTCCTGACTTTTCAGGTTAGCATTGATCAAAGTTCTCGCTCAACGGCAAAAAGCCTTGACGCCACATCTCAACTGACTTTTTTGTTATTAATCCCTTATTGCAGAAGAGCTACCCATCATCAAAGAAAAGATTGTTCAAGCAGCCGACAGTATGCACAATGATTGATTCGTATCGGGAACAATTGCGCCTGACGGTACTCATTTTCACTTTTTCATTTAACAGCGACGAAAAAGAAGGTCAAAGAATGGTATGATAAGTTTAAACAGTCACGTGACGACCAAGGTCAATCAAACACTCCATTATACACCAGTTTACCTGGTGACGAGGCCGACAATCATATTCTCGACGAGGATTTCTTAAACAATCACAGTCGTCGCCAAAATAATCCTTACATCTCACCGTTAAGATCTCGGCCTGAGTATGGGTCATATGGTACTGATGTTACCAGGGATATTGATCGCCATAGTAATCGTGAGCCTATAAAGATCATCAGAAGCGATCAGAATAACAATTCATTGATAAATGACCTATCAGAGAAAGAAGTTGATGAGGAGAGTGTAGCACCATATAAAATACATGATGAAGGTATGAAATCCTAATATCCTCCATATGTATTTCCTAGGTGATATTCAATTATTTTCGTTTCTTTCAAATTCACCATAGCAACTGATGTTGATAATTCCGATGAGTCAAAACAAACCCATCATACCGAAAAAGTTTCAACTGGGGAGCACAATGCTCAAGGTATCTTTGAATGACATTTTATTTTGCGCATGAAACACTTATTGAATTTTTCTTTATTTCTCCAGATTTGGACGACGACTTTATGAAGGATTCGTCAAAGTAACTTACTCTGATACAAAAACTTTGTTATAAAATGATTTACATGTGTTTCAATATCAATTTCAAAGTTGTATAATTTCAAGAATAATGTAAAATACAAAAGTTCCTGTCATCATTTTTTATATCCTAAAAGGATTTAATACATTATCTATTGACCATTTACAGTAACAATGCATTATTTGAAAAAAAAAACAACGATGCACAATATCCAAATCATGTCTGTTTGAAATTGTCTTTGAATGAAGGATATGACTGTTACACGTAATACGTACACACACACGTGCATATATATGCATTACCTTTTATCTAAGGATAGATTCGGTGAATTTAGTTGATGAATAGGAAATACGAGTAACTTGATGTTCGTGAAAACTGGAACCTACCAGTAGTGATTTCCATTGGAATTTCCATAGCCTTCAGGAAAATCTTTTCGTGATCGTTTGCTAAAAAAAACAATGTCAATTTACTAAAATGTGCGTACTATATATGAATAACGCAGGTGACAGATCCACTAAATTACTTGAGTCTCATCGATTCTTCCAAGTCAACGGCGTCGAACTCATCATCATCGGAATATACATGTCCATTCTGGGCGTTGATGTCAACTTCTTCTAGATCATCACCGGCCATAAATTCATCCTGATCATCATTGTACTCATCACCACCGTTAGGTGCATCATCTTCACCGCCTTCTATTTCTACCTCTTCAAATTCGTCGTCTTCAGCCATTGATGATCCATTGGCTTTATCTTGGTATAAGCTGGCGTAATACTCCGCATAGACTAAAAATCATTAAAATAAGGTTCATAACGATAGTCTTATAGAAAATTTGAAGATGTACGTATGTCAACTTACAATTTCCACGCTCATCATCTTTTTCATTCGCTATTCCTATCTCAACTTTTTGTTCATTTTCTTGCGCAGCGCTTGAACTTCCAGTGTTGGATGTCATAATATCTCCTGAAACCGTACTACGAACATGCCACGCCGGTAATGCATTCTGTTGCCTTTGTTCACATACATTAAATAAATAATCTTATTAGCCTAAATAATTAAATAATAAAAAATATGTAACCAATTTCTATTTTTACCTTTTCTTTTCCGTTTCGGCCTGTCTTTCCATTTTAGAAGCTTCGTTGTCATCCTGAATTACAACAACGATATCTCCCGAACTTGCACCAGTATCTTGAGAATATTGCAGATCCTGTTCCTCTGATGTTCCAAGATTGCAACAATAAATGGAATGATGTAAATTGATAATACATAAAAAAAAAAAAAATAGGAATACATACGTGTAGAACCAGGCTGACCTCCCTTTGTACCAGACGAAACTTGTAATTTGTCAACCGAAGAACTTTGATATATACAACGGGTCATGAATTCGTGGTAATAAAAGAGCGATCATGTAATGTTGT